TGCGGCATAGCGCCGCGTTGGAGTTGGTTTGGAGCTGCATCCGCAAGCAGAAGGTGCTCACGTGATCTTCGGGATCGGTCGTCCCGTTGTATGTTGGGAGGGTGGGTGGCATTCCGCTCAGGTGTTCCGCCATGATTTCCGTGCTTAGCGGCTGGTGGAGCGCCTTCTTGGGCGCGTTGAGTCGGTATTGCGGAGATAGGTGTTGCTCTAGAAAACTGAGGTCTGCCCTTCCTGGAAGCTCAGCTGGCTGTGTTTCATATACGGGGTGAGGTGGCGGGACCGTCCCCGACGTTTCTCCGTGAGCTTGTTGAGGCGCGACTGGTGTTGCGCATACGGTGAGCGCAACTTGCTGCGCTTCGTGCGCGGGGTGCGCTGGTAGGACAGCCAGCGCGGATGGAGTCACGCCAGCTGTTGCCGCGGCCTCTCTGCTCATCATGAGCGCCATGACCTGGCTCATTTGTTTTTGCATGTTAGCTATGACGTCGTTCTGCTTCGCCACCAGCTGTCTCATTTCTCTGGCTGTGAGCTCGGGCTCTTCCTCTTCCAAGAGCACCGCGTTGAGATTGCTGGTTTCTGCGAATTCCCTTGGGTTGGTCATTGCCTTGATCGGGGTTGACTCGTCAGGCGAGTTGGAGTTATGTTCTGCCATAGATTGATTTTCTTTGCTTCTCTGCTTGGCCCCACGGTGGGCGCCAATTGTTTGAGCCTAACTGGGTGTAGGAGGGAGACTCGGGGAAATGGGTCAAGGAGAGTAAGCAATGAGGGATTAATCGTCGATAGAAGAACTAAGGAGATTACAGGAAGGATTGAGAGAGAAATCTTTTAGAGAGAGAAGTTAATGATTTTAGAGATAGAGTCCGAAAAATCGATCCCCTCACCCACCGGAGCAAATGCCATATTTATAGGCTACATGCTGGTGGGTGAGTGGTTGGGTTACAAGTGCGCACAATGATGTGACCACTGACATGACAGGGACCTAGGCCATGCTTTTAGGACCCTGATGTGACTACTGACATAGCAGGACTATACCTAGGACTGTGATAGTGACTGCCCGACGGGTGACGCGGCGCCGCTTCTACAACTCCTCGACTAGGGCCCACGCCTGTCCCAAGCATTGTCGTTCAGTGTTTTGCGCGCGCCTCTTCAGAGGTGGCTTTGGCCAGGACGCTTGATTCCGGCGTGACTCGCGCGCTTAACCTTGGCGCGACTCCTTAGTGCTTCTGCTTGGCTCGCGCGCTTAACCTTGGCGCGACTCCTTAGTGCTTCTGCCGTGGGGTGCGATCCGAGTCACATGCCCAACAGTAACTTATCGAAGCGACAGTGGATTAAATAAGGTGCTATGCGGTCTAAAATAGGATATCGATCTTCAGGCTAAATAATCAAGTCATTGAGCTACGACAGTAGGATTTGAATTAATTGTTTAGTACGTAGTAATGCCCGACAGGGATAGCTAGCACCGTAGTGATATCCTGGCTGTAGAGTTATGGATTAAATTGATTGGAATATGTGAATTAATCTGGATAGGATAGGTAGTGAATCCCGGTGTTTCTCCCAGAGCTTTCTCCCATTGAATTTCTCCGACAAGTTTACTTTGCTTAATTAGTTTAATTATTTTGCTATTAGTTAATAATTTCATCTCTTAAACATTTTCACATATAGTTTACTCGAAAGAATTGATAAATCATAAGGTTGTACCAGTCCCTGAGAGACGATACCCAGATTTCCGGTTTTACTACAAGATAGGATTAAGGCATACGCTTTTGCCCTATCATAGCTCTTGAATGCTTCTACTATCACTTGACATATCTTTCAACCACTTTTGCCTTCTCACAAACACAAACAAACATACTTTTTCGATATCATCTTATTTTCTAGGCACTGCAAAAAAAAAATCTTGTTCATGGAGCTTTTTTCTAGAGAATTATTCCCTTATTAGATGAGCAAGAATAATTCGTGATCTTTGTCATTGCCGGAGTACTTCTTTTAACTCACATAACTCAACTCGTGTAGAGGTCAACAAAGTTAAAGGGTGTCGGAAGCTCTATTCGTGCCCTTACAACACATCCTCGAGTTTTGGCTATTTATTCAACAGGTAGAAGTTTTACTTCTACTAGAGAATAACTAGCATCAACAGGGTCATTGAATAGCCACTAGTATCTCTTTCAAAATCCAAATTAATGCAATGAAAAGATGTCTCACATGTTGGACTTACCCCATACTCTATTTCTCAACGCGTCATGACAAATTTCTCAAGATACAACCATGTCTTGATAGGTAGTTTGTTTGCATTTTATAGAAGATACCACTCCACCTCTGGAATTTTTTTTTAAGTGAGACTCCTTTGTATAATCAGAAGTATATGAATGAATCAAACCACATAGCATTGAGACAATATCATAAGTATATGAATGAATCAAACCACATCTCATTGACTATCGCATCCTTCATAGTCACTATCTATCCTCCCTAGCTAAAGTAATATTTACTAGATTCATTAATTCAAAGTAAGATGAGCAGTAAACATGCTTGTAGGAGATGACTAACAAGTCAATTGATGGAAAACTTCTTTAGTAATTTTTGGGGAAAAATTCTCATAGATCACATAGCTACTAGAATTGGAATTTTTTTGAAGTTGAACAACTAAACATATAGAAAGAATAATGCATAGAAAAGCATATCAACTCAATTTTACCTCACACTTTAAACTAGGCACTGTCCTCAACGGACTAAAAGATAGGTGAGCCATGACAAAATTTTGAAACGGTTACCTCATTTTTCTTTCAATTTGAAGTATTAATAAAAGAAGACTTGAACAATCTTATTATTTAGGGAGATTCTAATGCTTCATCCCCTAAACAAAATCCAAAGGAAATTTTAACTGAGATGTGGATCAAATTCATGATAGCGGATGAATCTTAAAATTATCGTCTGATGCTTCGCATTTTATCTCCTTGATTATATGTAGCCACAACTTGAACTTTGTACTGACTATTTTGAGTGCTATTGCTAGTTTCCAATCAGGAGTTGGTGGAGCTTCGTTGAACTCGTTTCCCCATAGTCGGTCCATAGTGTAATTAACTAATTATGATAGCTTACTTGTAAATATTCCTCATATAGAGATCCTAACCTCATATTGATCTCTATCTCTTGCTCCATCTATTGATCCTTAGAAGCATCATTATTGGCAACTTTATTGATAGGAAAACTTTAATGGGTTTCATTATTCGATGCACAATTCCTTCTACATTGAGTGTGATTTCTCCATTTGTTGCATCAATCGTGGCACGACGGTGACAAGGAATGGCCTTCCAAATATCAAAGAGTATTCGATTTCAATCTCCATGTTGATCACTATATAGTTGACGTAGAACACCAATGGCCCGATTTTGGTGCTTAGTCTTCGTACTCCTCAAAGAGCTTGGCATGGAGTATTATCAGCTAATTTGATCTCCATCTCGATATCCCCCATGTCGGGTAGAACCCATGTCATCATAAAGGGGGAGTGGCATGATGTTGATGTTAGATCCAAGATCCACCAATACTTCCTCAAGACGACAATCATCTAGGAGACAGATGATTGCGTAGTGACCAGGATCCTCCTTATGTTCATATACTCGAATTAGTTCTTTAGGTTCCCAAGGGGTTTCCTCGATGATGCTCTCCTCCTCCTCCTCGATTTCTTAAGCCTCATCCAGAAGTAGCTCAAGTTGCTCTTGTGGATTTTGTAGCGTAATGATGCCCTCCAACAGCATCAAAGCGCTTTCATATCCTCCTAATGCTTGGATGCGCTTTTAAACAAAATGTTGTTTTCGAGTTGATTCATCAAAGATCAACATCATGTTCCCTCCTTGATTGAAAGCTCATTCTTCTCTCTTCACTATGTCAAAAAGATGGATTTTTCACTTCTTCTTCTTTACAAAACTTGCTTAGAAACGAGCTTCTACGAGTTGTAGTGCCAAATTATGCTCTGCATCTCGTGAGTAGGTGTGAGGGAAAAGAAGAGCGGTCATCTCTTTTTTATAGGCGAGTGGCAGGGAAAAGAAAAACACAGTTGTTGATCACCCTATTTTGTAACCATGTGATTATGAGTTTGGTCCCTGCTCGTCATTTTCTATGACCATCCTCATTAAGGGGATTAGTTACCTTACTAATATACAAGAAAATGGTAAGTGGTGGTGACATTCGAGGATGTTAACTGTTGCACAAGGTTAAGGCAAAGGCATTAAATCTGTAGCCCACACGTGGTCTCGAGGTATGGATTATCCATGACTGTTGTGCTATTGCTAAGTGCCATTGCTCTGCAGAAGCACATTTGCTATCTCCAGTGGGCTGAACTTTGTATGTCTTTAGGTTTAGCTACATAAGAGCTCAACATATGGGTAATGGATACTGTCGTTTTCTCTACTGTGAAGCCTCTCACTCTCAGCATTACTTCAACATGTTGGAAACCCCAGATGGTCAATCTATGGCAAATCAAACCATGATGGATGCATAAGCTGTAGTGATCCATTGAAAGCCACACATTCCATGGTCACATTCCATCATCCAAATGACCCGTCAGTCGGTAGTAGTTTTGCCAAATCATCAGCAGTCTCAGCTACTGTCATTACCAATTTACCAGCCACGGTTCTAGATTGCTCCTTTACCCTCATTTGACCAAATTGAGCGCTCTGTTGTCCAAATCCAGAATGGATACGGATTCAATGCCATCTAACACACTTCATAGGCAGGAAATCTCTGCATACATTTATGAAATTCGCATTGCTTTTCGATAAGTTACATGGATTCAACTGATTCCCACTTCTTGGAATTACATGAAATTCACTGCTACTAAGCTACAGATCCTAGCTCTGCTGCCTCTCTCATATCTGTATCTATTATCTCGAGTTGAATAAACGTTGATCATGTAAAGTACTTGGCTTTTTTCCCCTATCTATGTACACAATGTAACAACAACAACAACAACGACTATGTCCTAACAACTACAAAAGATGTCACCTTTACAGTGGGAATCCAAAGTTACCATACCCCATTGACCCTTCCTGATGATGATGATGATGATGATGATTAGAAGTAGGCAAGTATCCACCACCTGGGGAGAACTGCATTTGCTGCTGCTGCTGAGGGAACTGATGATGAGCTGACGAGCCTGCATTTGGAGGATGGTGAGGAAGCCTGCTCTGATCGACCATAGGGAGACCCACCGAGTTGTGATTGTCGACATTGGTGATGTCGTGGATGCTCGACCTCTTCCTCTCTTTCTTCACCGAGCTCTGCCGGAGGAAGTACTTCTGGGCGTGGCTGGCGACCTGCGTTGGGGTTCTCGTCACCACTATGTTCCTCGAGATGCTCCTCCAGTCTCCCTTGCCGTATTTCCTCAACCCGATCAAAAACAGCCTGCAATTTCGATGATCGAAGAAGATAAAAAGGGTGTCAGCTGGATTATTGTGATTCCATCTCTTCAGCCATGGATGATGTAAGTTACTTCCATCAACACTTCGGAATCACAAAGCTTCCTCCTCTCCTATGTCGGTCTAAATTGGTTCAGAAACGGAGAATTCACGAAACGTTTCGATCGTTTCCTCCACAACCAAGCCCAAGAAGTAAAACAGAGAAGCAAATTCGACGAACCAGAGGATTTCCAGTGAGAAATTTCAGAAACAGAGTTAGGCAAAAGGGGAAAAGGAACGTACTTGTGTTCTTCTTCTGTCCAAGGAGTCCCTTTCTTCCTCTCGCCGTCCCCGTGTTTTGCCTTCCCACCAACGCCAAACGAAATCTGCCCGGAATCTTCCCCGCCAGCAAACGACGAGTCGTCGAGGTAAGTCGGCAAGTTGACTCTCCCGGAATCAATGTCATAAACATCGCGCACCAACAGGTCGTAGTGCTCCACAACCTCCGCCGCCGACCGGCCAACATGTTCGGCGATTCTGAGCCATCGGTCGGGGGAGTCGTCGGGGAACAGAACCAAAGCCTGCTCGAACTTCTTGTCGTCGAATCGAGTCCACTCAGCTCCGGCGACAGAGTAACAGCCGTCCTGATACATTGCACACAAGAAAAAAAACAGAGGAAATGGAAGAACAGGGGAAGAAGAAGGGAAAGGAAAGATCGAAGCTTTAGTTTGGAATTTAGCGAAGTGGGTATTTCTAGTTCCGTGGGAAATTTGAAGAGGGCAATGAACAAATGGGTTGTTTATATATATAATGGGTTTGAACTTTGAAGTGATGGAAATGGATTAAAGAAGGGAGGTTGGTGGTGGGTGTGGATGAATGAATGGATATGCGTTGGAATGATATGAATGAGGTGGGAATTGCGACTTTTTGTTGACTCGCCCCTTCCTTTCAATTCTTGTTTTGGTTTCTTTTGTTGGTTTTCCCAACTCAGGATGACAAATGTCCTACGCTTTCCCTTGCCCTTTCTGTTTCTGTGTGGGTGGGTTTTCCTGAATAGGGAAATGGGTAATCAGCAGCTGTTCTTGTCCTCTTTTGGGTGTTCCTCTTTGGAAAAAGCTTCAACCGACTAAGCACTTAACTTTTCCTCTCTTGATTAGAGGACACTAATCATTGGTTTAGGTGGCAGGTCAGGCCAAATTACAGTTAGTCCCGTGTCATTTTAGTTCATTGGAACCGTGTACAGTTAATCTCGAATACCTTGGTATGTGTTTGGTTTGGTTTGGTTTGGTGTATTTGTATACGAATATGATTATATGTATTTTTGTAAGAGAACGCTATGTGGTTTTGCAAATTTTTACGAGAATGGAGTAACAAGTTGTTTTTCAAATTATTGTTGTTCTTGCTATCACAACAATTATAAAATGTGTGAATGTACGAGAGGAAATTCTCATATACAGTTCTCGGAGGGGGATTATTACATTTAATGACAAATAATAGACTCAAAACAATCCAATTTAACGGTATCACAAAGATAAGACTAGGAGGTACTTGGTACGTAATCTAGACAAGTAGATCCACATACCATCTTCCCCATTTCGTAAAAAGTTAAGTACAAATCAATATTTACGAGGCGTGTTTAGCTCAAGGTTATTCGTAACCGAATGTTTTCTATCTTATTCATATTCTATTGTATGTGAAACATATGTCAAACACCGATTAGTCTTGAAAAAATTGAGTAAACACACATATAACTCATTCATCTTTACTGCATCCGCTACGATGCTCATGAGCATCGATGATTTTGTTTAAAAAAACAACTTTTTATGTTACAAACATAATTTGTACCTTTAACATTATAGTACAAATTTAATTTGTGATATAAACTGAACATGTATATTAATGTTGTGATACAGATTCCTTTATAATACAAATCAAACTTATACTTACAACGTTATGGATCAAATTCAACTTGTACTTGAAAGCACAATGTTTCTGAGTATTTCACAATTCCTCTTTGTTCATATGTATTTTGTCATCTTGATAGTTGCTACTTTGTTACTTTAAATACACTCAAATGCATCAAAACTATCTGCGGAAGTAATTGCTAGCTAACTAAAACACTCTCAAATGCACCTAACCAGGACGAACTGATGACACACAAATCCTCTTAACCAATACCATATTCGTATGGTGGCAATAATGCATTGTTATCTATGCGTCACTAATAACAAATTGCCGCGTCTGCAACTAACCAGCCAACCAACTCATTCTGTTCGTCACATTCTGATATCTTTTCCAAGCTCATACATAACATAAGCATCATAAACTTCACAACTGCCCCACATCAGGACAATTGAAGGAAAGCCAATAATGGATAGTTGTTACACCTTTGCAACCATCATGGAGAGAAGAAAAAGGCCAAACCGTTTATCTTTTCTATGTTGCCTATGGAGAAGCAAAAGATGAATTAACGAAGTCAGTGAATTGATCTAGAGCAAAAAAAGCCAATGTCATTTGCTTACTGCCTTTCTGCAGCAGAATATCAGAATTCAGAGTTAACTATCTCATCCAAATAGTTTATATGCATGGTATAGAAACAACTAAAACGCACCGAACTCATTCAGATTAGTCATTGTTAACGATTTTGTTCCCCCCTTGTTCTGCTGCTGATGTGTGTGGGAACCTTTAATGACTGTATAGGGTCTGCAGCAGCAGCAGCAACACAATAACAAAAACCGAAGTAGGAAACAGAACTGCTAATGACAATTTATATCAGAGCGATGTTGGTACTTTAGTTGTCTTGATACAAATTCAATGGCCAATCCAAGATATGAATACAAGTCTAGTGACTAAATTGGTATTCAATTCCAGACCACCAGCTATGGAGAGAAGAAATCAAAGCTTCTTTGTTATCTGAGAGTCCAGTCAGGGCCAATGCAAATGACCTCTTTATGCTTAACCTTAACTCCATCCCTAACCATTGTGAAAACTTCCAGTGCAGTGGAAGTGAGTCTACTGCCCCGGCTAATGTACAGTACCTTCAGCTTCTTACATCCTTGCCTCAAACCCTGTAATCCCAAATCACACAGATTACGACACCGATTTGCGTGGAGTGTCTCTAGCTCATTGCAGTTCGCCCCAATGGCCTCCCACCCTGCAAGCCGAACCTCATTACACAAGGCTAAGTTCAATTCCTTGAGCAAGGGGCAACCTCTGGCTATCGCCATTATTGATTCATCCCCTAGAGTCCTGCATAACCTCAGGTTTGGAATCTTGAGCTTTGAGGCAAACCCTGAACCAATTTCTGCCAACGCACCTCCATGGATGTTCAAACCGTGCAGGTTCAAGTACTCGATCCCACCTCCACTGACGATACATGATATTCCTTCTGGCTCAAGATTGCAGTTTTCAGCATCTATGTAGCATAGAGTAGATGAACATCCTTTGAAGCCTTTGCCACTTACTCCCTTGCACCAAGAAATCTTAACTGCCAGAATCTCGCAGCAGTTCTTACAAAGAGCTCTCAGACCATGATCAGAGATATTAGCGCAATATGAGAGGTTTATTCGTTTCAAACCCAGACATCCATTTGCTAAAGCCTGCAAACCATCATCAGTGATATTGCATCTATAGAAACTGATATCTGTTAGTGATGGGCAACTAGTGGCAATTAACGAGAGACCAAGATCAGTGATCCCAAAGCAACAATCGAGAATGAGAGATAGCAATCTAGAGTCATGGAGTTGTAACAGGTTTAGACCCGAGTCTAAAAGGTCTGTGCATCCGGTTAGAGAGACATGCTCCAAGTGTTGAAAGCGAGTGAGCAGCCTATGAACATGGTAGGAGCTCTCAAGGAGGGTAGCTCTGGATGAAGAATAAAGTTGGACAATAGTGAAGGAGCTAGAGAACTGCAATGATTTTCGGTTTGTGTTCTGTATTTTCAGCCAAGGATGGCAGGTCAATCCGAATGATTCACGATCAGTGCTAGAGTCGAGTTTTTGGAAGATTATGGAGAGGCAATCATCCGGGAGATGAATGATCATGTTGTTTGACGAGGACCTTCCTCCTCAGAAGGTTGCAAAGCACGGATCTTTATGGTGAACTTCGTGTAGGACGAGGTAGAAGCTGACTCAACAGAAGAGTCAAAACCACAAAGGACTTGAGAATTGCCATGCCCATAGCCTATATGAACCCCACATTTTCGGCACAAGAGCTTGGTTTTAGCACGATAAGATCCCCAGCAGAAAGGAAGGCAGTGTAGCTCGTCGAGCTGTGTGAATCTACTAAGGTCGATGGAGAGAAATGAGATGAAACCTTTCTTTATGGATCGACGATATGCAGAAGAAGCTATGGTGGAAGTGATTCGGTTGGAGGATGTTAAGTTCAATGGAAACCCACAAGAACCGCAGCTGCAACGCAAACACAAATCAACACAAGAACAAGTTAGAACCACAAAGTGCACTATGTAATCAAGGGAAAGAATTGATCAAGGCACACAATATTCATATCTTAAAAATATAAACCGAACTAAAGACTTAAACCTCAGAATACACCAGTTTGGAACGAATCATTACTGGAGGCAGACTGCGACTAGACAAACCACAACACTGAACTACTATACTACAGCTAGACATACAGTGCTGACATTTACACAGCTATGTGTTAAATTTTAAAATATTCGCTCAATGAGTGATCCATGGTTGTAAATTCCTAGCTTGCAAAAGTACCAAAAGCCACCAAAAAAAACCCCACATTTCGACTGATGAACCAGAGACCTTTTCATCTACTAATCTTCAGCCCCCGATTATTGAATCATCACTCATCAGACAAAAGTTCTAATCAGAAACCAAACCACTAAGATCGGCGGTCATACAAATGCACCAGAAAGGAAAGCATCTTCCTTTTCCTTTCCCCCCAGTTGAATGAACTGATTTCTAGCGCTAAGGCACAAAACCCATTTAACCTAAGGACACAATCAAAGAACTCAAACCACAAAAGCAACATATGGATCGAATTGTATCTACTCGTCCTCGTGATCGGACGGAAGATATTAATAACCCAGAAACTGAAACTCGCTTGGAGAGGGGAAAAGGTGAAAGCTTTGGAGTGTTTTCCTCCTCTGATTACCTGTAAGAGACGTCAGGTTGGGACATCTACTCAGAGTGGCAGTCGGAATAGGATGAACCGATGAAGGGTTCCTTATTTTAGGTTGTGGGTTTTGGAGAAACTAAAGGCGATGAATTGGTGATCTTGGGTCGATGAGATCAGAGGCGCAGATTTTCCCTGCATTATATATGCCGGTCTGTGCTTTCTTACTACGGAGTTTGGACTTTAGGAGTTGTTCTACATGGAGAGAACTCAGAAGGGCAGTAGCCAATAGGCGTGATCGTTGCCGGCATTGTCCTTTGTTTGGACTTCGACAAGGTAGTTGCTGACCAGGGCTCAGCCAGCGGTTAACAAACCGTTCGGAAATTTTGTTAGAAACTCGGCTTGTCTTTGAGATTAACTCATGAGTTATCCTGTTTTGAGTTATGAGTTGGTTTGACATTATCGTTAGCGACTCACTTTAACTTACAACTTATGAGAGAATCGATAGCTTATTCTTGTATTGTTGATAATTCACAAATATGTTAGATTGTATATCTCACAACATATGATGCTTAAGAATTTTTTTTTTGGTGTGAGATGCTTAAGAATTTGAGTGCGTGATCAAATATGTCTTATTTATCATTTAAAAGATAAATTATGTATCATAGAATGCTTAGATGCTAATTACTATTAAATAACATGATATGGAATAAAAAATTATGAACTAAATTATATGATACCTTGACTAGAGACGATCTCACAAACTAATTGATGAGGCGAGCGCGAATAGGGCTGGTGACCTCATTAATGAGACGAGCTTGAGTCAAACACAAGTTGTTTTAGTAAGTAAGTCAAGTTCGAACTCGACTCGTTTATTAACGAGTCTAGCTCAACCTAAGTCAATACTTAACTCGACTCGACTCATTTGCATCTTGCTAATTGAGGAAAGGGAATCCTCATTAGTTGGAATGGATGAGTAGCTAGTCTATATGTTTTATTACAAACAAGTAGTTTTATTTTGAGTGATAAGAAGGTTGTCAAACCGATTTATGTCACAACTTAAACTTATCACAAAGAGCCAATTGAGATGGTGATTAAGGAACAACTCATTGATTGGGATGGTGATGAGAGAAGCCACTGATATATGGTGGCAATCACCTTTAGAGGGTGCACATAAATGCAATTGAAAAATTAATTACATCTGATTTTTTTATTTTTTTATTTTTGCGTGAAAGGAGGCGCAAAGGCCAAGAACAGACGAATTACAAAGGGGAGAGGTTACAGAGAGGAGGATGGGGGGGCAGGGAACAATGTCCCTAGTGAAAGTAACTCCTTGGTCGTCTTCTCTGAGCAGAGGCACCAAGGCTTGGGGTGGGTTTGGCATCTCATGTACACCGTAGGGATAGACGAGACTGTGCTTCGAGAGCCAGTCCGCGACTCTATTCCCTTCCCGGTATACATGAGATAGCCGAACTACCCACTCCTGAGCCATCTTACGTCGAATGGCCTCCAACAACGTAGCATAAGGATGGAGTGGGTCCGTCCTGTTGTTCACTAGTTCAATAGCCAGCTTCGAGTCCGATTCCACCAGAATAGTTCTGCATCCATGTCTCCACGCAGTATCCAAACCATGGTATAAACCCCATAACTCAGCCATCGCCGCCGAGCAGGATCCCAAGCTAGCGCAGAAACCTCCAACCCATCGACCGTCACTGCCCCTCAGGACTCCACCGGCTCCTGCCACTCCCGGGTTCCCATTCGATGCCCCGTCAACATTAAGCTTCCACCATCCCGGAGGGGGAAGCTTCCACCCAACCTCTGCTTGAATCCTTTGAGCTGGGGGAGAACGTCTATCCGAGCCGATTGTTGGGGCTTTCCACACATCATACCACAGCCTTGCTTTAACTTTGATAGCTTGGGTGAGTGAAGGAGCAGACAACGTCTTACTAATCCTCTAGAAGGCCCCGTCATTTCTGTTCTTCCACAATAGCCAGATGGCTATGCAATAGAAGGCGTTCTAAGGAATACCTGTTATGGAGGTGTCTTCGCTGAGGATGTTCTGTCTAAGCCAAGTCTGGGTAGAAGTCGAGAAGAAGTCCGACTGATCAGAGGATGCCACCACACGAGTCCAAAAGTAGGCTGCGGGAGGGCACTCTCGAAAAATGTGTGAAATGGTCTCGACCCTCCCCGCGCATCTATAGCAATCGGATACAGTAGTTAGGTGTCTTTGGCAGCGGGTCTCATTGGAGCTAATTTTCCCTAAAACAAGCAGCCACATGAAGCATCGGATGCGCTCCGGAACAGTAAGGTTCCATAGTGTTGTCCACAGTTTCTGATCACCTCCTTGAGGGCTTGGCATAATCAGTTGGTAGGCACTCTTCGTGGAAAAACGCCCGTTAGAGGTGGGGCGCCATAGAAGCGAGTCATCATTCGTTGATAGGGGATCCACCGCATAAGCTGTGATCTGCTGCTGGACTTCCATGGGGAGAAAATCGCTGAACTTGTGAGTAAGCCATCTCCCCTCCTCATCGACGTAATCGGCCACCTTGAGCTCGAGGTCTTCTTCCGGAACAGGTTGTATTGCCAGTTCAGCAAGGGGAACCTGCGAGAGCCACACATCAGTCCAAAAACGAACTCGAGTACCTTTATGAATATTCCAAGCTGCCCCTTTGTTAGGATATAACTTGAATTTGATTTGGGTTTGTTTTGTGTTTTAGGCCTATTCTGTTTAGGTTTGGGATTGGGTTTTGTTTTGACCTTTTACTTGTATGTTTGGGAAAAGGTGTTTAGTTTTCTGTTGGGGATTAGGAGAAGAGTTCTATAAATAATCTTCATCACCCTAGTCTGTAGTAAGGTCAGTCAGGTTAGTTTGTTTGGTTTGTCCGTTTGGAATTTGGTTTGTAACCTGTACTCTCCTCAAATTAGTGAAATATGTTCCCCTTGCCCGTGGATTAGCTAGCACACATTGTGTTACTGAACCACGTTAAATTTGTGTTCGTTCGTGTTGGTTTGGATTATCGATTGCACGCTTCTGTTCTGACAAGTGGTATCAAAGCCTTTGGTTGCGGTTTTGGGAATTTGGCGCTGGACTGAAGTTTTGCTTTGTGGAGTTTGGTTGGAGTTTGTTTGATAGTAAGAATGGCTGCTATCAGTATGAAGATCGAGAAGACAATTTGGAGTTGCAGGCTTGGAGTTGGAAGTAAATCTGATGTTGGTGTTATGGACGGAAATAACACCAAGTTGGTTATGCATGGCAAGTCCCAACATGGGTTGGACTTGCTGCATGTTTTGATTTGTTGATCGCCCTTAGGGGCATTTGGAGGCAGGGGAGGTTCTGGTACAGCTAATTTGGAGGAGTTAGTACGTCTGGCAATTCTGATTGCATCTGAGTTTGGTGATTTGCATCGCGTTTGGTCTGGCGATATGAATCGCATTTGGATATGTCTGGAAATCTTGATTGCGTTTGAGTTTGGCGGTTTCGATCGCATTTGGATACGTCTTGCGATATGTATCTCGTCTGGGTACATCTGGCAACTTTGGTTGCGTTTGGTACATCTGGCAACTTTGGTTGCGTAGGAGAAACTAGCCCAAGCCAGTGAACTTCCCTGTCGTCGCTGCAGGATCTCAAGATTCTCTTTACTCTTGCCGTACTTGTCGCGCATCATTTGGCGCCACAGGCTATCACGGTCGTTGATAATTCGCCATCCCCCTTTGGCGAGCATGGACAGGTTGATTGGTCTAGCGGGACGGATGCCCAGACCATCTGATTTTTTTATTGCTATCTCAAAATTTATGCAATCCAACTCAACTTTATTTCATTACACCTACATCAATGCAATTCACTTGCAATTGCATCTGAAGGTTTAAGCGACTTTATAATAAATAAAAATAAATAAATCCAAATAGAAAAATAAATTATTGCTTTATTATTTTTCTATGTTGCTGTCATCTTAAATTTCATTTAATGCAAGCTTGCATATTTTCAATTGTGCACTACATTGATGCAATCCTCTTTACAATTGCATATTAAGTGTCATGTAAGAAATGCAATTGAGTACATGGGTTTGGAAGAAGATATTGAAGTGCAGACATCATGCTCAACCACATATTACTGGTTCAGGGGATACTTTGGCGTGGGATGGACAGAGGATTCCTAAATACACTATTAAGCTTGTTTGGGTTATATACGGGAGCATTCCCCAACTGTTACATGGAGCAGCGTTGTGTGGGAGAGGCCAATCTATCCTAATTAAGCATAGTGTTCTCCTTTGGTTGGTTGCGCTTGGGCGTCTTCGGACTAAAGACCAGCTTGCTGGATGGGGTATAGCTTGTAACCCCTGCTATGTTTTATGTCCAGTTGGTGATGAAAGTCGAGATCACTTGTTTGGGACGTGTTCATTTGGCCATGCAGTGCTTAGACACCTATTGCAGAAAGTCTGTGTTTTCCCTAGGTTCTCTGATTGGTGTACTCATGTGCAATGGGCAGAATGGCAATGGGGGATGAGGCTGATAGGGCTGCAGTTGGTCGAGTGCTTTGGATAATGGGCATTAGTCACATATGAAGGGAAAGGAACTCACAATTATATGGCAGTTCTCGAGCTGCTTCTCCTTCTCAACTATCGCGATTGGTGCTGACTGAGTTTGGTATATTTGCCAGTAGCAACGTAGCTTTCCGCTGAGTGTCTTGAAAGTTTTAGGTCCTAGCGTTTAAAGGTTTTTTGGTTTATATCGTTGATAGTTATTAGTATACTGAATGTATAAGCACAGTTGTATACCTTGAGAGGGAGGTGCAACTCCCCGAGCTTCAATGCAATTTTTGATTAACCATAAAAAAAAGAAATGCAATTGAGAAAATACCATTGATATGGATGCTTTTAGATAATGGGGGAAGACAAAAGTTTATATTTCACATTAACCTTAAAGATTCTACAAAATCATGGATTCTACAGTTTTAATTAGAACTAGTACTTGGCCCGCGCTCCGCGGCGGGGTAAGTGTGACTCCAGTTGTTTTGTGGATTTTGTTATGTTCTTTCTGCTATACCATTCTCAAATAGTTTAGATTCATTGCGCGAGAGAGCGCAAAAATTAACAAACATATTATCAATCTTTATGCACACCACACATATACATCTGTTATAGTTTTGTTATCATTGAAAATAGGGAATAAAAACTTGAGTATCTAATGCCCTGGACGAAATTAAAAAACACAAACACATTTGCCATAGTTTTGTCTTCACTGAAAATAGGGAATAGAAACGTCAGTTTAAAATGGAGAATTCTGGGGATGGATGGGATACTTCAGTTGGCCTTTCTGTCAGTAGTGCTGATGGTCACTTATCTATCCTTGAGGTGTGCCAAAGTGTTGCCACTCTTATTTGGGATACGGCTGTTCTGGTTCTGTTCTTCAGATCTGAGGAACCGATG